AGGGTCAAGAAATTCACAATTTTGGTAAAGCACCTTAAGGAAGACCCATATATGAAGAGTATTTTATTCTACCATATCTGGGTCTTGAGAAGAAGATTTTTGAAATTTTAGTCAATTTGACCCTTTTTGGCCCCGCCCCTCAGGCCCCTGGGGGCTTGGGACTAAACCGGACACTATTTTTGCTGACCTTCGTCCATGGAAAGTCCCTGCAAAATTTCATTGAAATTGGTTCAGGGGATTTGGAGAAGATTTTTGAAATTTTAGTCAATTTGACCCTTTTTGGCCCCGCCCCTCAGGCCCCTGGGGGCTTGGGACTAAACCGGCCTCTGTTTTTGTTGACCTTTGTCCATGGAAGGTCCCTGCAAAATTTCATTGAAATTGGTTCGGGGGTTTTGGAGAAGAAGTCGAAAATGTAAGTTGTTTACGGACGCACGACGGACAAAAGGCGATCGCAACAGGTCACTTGAGACTTTGTCGAGACTTTGTCTCAGGTGACCTAAAAAGTTAACGCCAGATGGACAGATGCCGGGCAAGGGCATAAGCTCACAAGGCCCTTCAGGCCAGGTGGGTTTAGGAGTTATATTGACAAATTTTTATCTACAGACATAGAGGGCGGGACAGAAATTTTTGTTTGTTAACTTTTGGTTTGTAGGGATGAATTGTTTTTGTTGACAAGAGAAGTAAACGTTTCTGTCAACAGAAGATATGAACATGTTGCTTGCAATCAAAAACATGGTTCACATACTTGGGATCAATCAGAGTCCCAAGTTCTCAACTATCTTACATACGTCAGAGGGCGTTTGTGGATTGTCCTCGTCAATGATCTCATTGTATGATGTGTTGCGCTTGGTCTCTGTGGAACCTTTTGGATCCTCATCATCCTCATCCAGAGAGTCCCCGGTACTCTGTTAAAGAAGATAACAAGTAAAAAGGTTATAGAAGACAGCAGTTAACAGAATAAATGGTTATAGCAGGTTAACAGGTTATATTTGTCAGCAAGTTAACAATTATCATATAGGGATTGAATCTGGATTTTTGCAGTGTTCATGCAAGTATGAACGGGAAAAAAACTACTTGATGATTAGGTATCTACCACAAAAGATGCCTACAAGTTCTCTTTTTATCCAGGAATTTACCTTCTTTCAAGTCCTCACTTGAAGGTTACCACCAGTCTCTCTACTAATTTTGCATCCCCATTAGTTATGTACATAGTTTTTATATTATAGAAAAACGGGGATTTAGAAAATTTAAAAGTAGTCCCATGGAAAAAAATGCCTTCGTAATAATATTAACAGCTGTCACATGAAAGGCCAATCACAGAACATGAAACAAGGCACAAAATCGAATTATAGCTATATACACAGCAGTTATAGCAGGTTAATAGTTCACATTGGTTGGCAGATTTACAATTATTATAGCTACATGTATACAGACAGCAAATTAACAGGTTGTAATAGACAGGTTTACAGGTTATAATAGACAGGATAAAACAGACTGGTTAACAGGTTAAGATAGACAGGTTAACAAGTTATAATAGACAGGACATGTACAGGTTATAATAGACAGGTTAAAACATACAGGTTAACAGGTAATAATAGACAGCAAGTTAACAGGTCAAAACAGACAGGTTAACAGGTTATAATAAACAGGACATGTACAGGTTATAATAGACAGGTTAAAACATACAGGTTACCAGGTAATAATAGACAGCAAGTTAACAGGTTAAAACAGACAGGTTAACAGGTTATAATAAACAGGACAGGTTAACAGGTTTTAATAGACAGAACAGGTTATAATACACAGATTAACATGTTAAAACAGACAGGTAAACAGGTTATAATAGACAGGTTAAGAGCTTATACTAGACAGCAAGTTAACAGGTTATAATAGACCGGTTAACATGTTAAAACAGACAGGTTAGGTAATAATAGACAGCAAGTTAACAGTTCAAAACAGACAGGTTAACAGGTTATAATAGACAGTTTAATAGGTCAAAACAGACAGTATAACAGGTTATAATAGACAGGTTAGCAGGTTATAATAGTCAGTTTAACAGGTTAAAACAGACAGGTTAACAGGTTATAATAGACAGGTTAAGAGCTTATAATAGACAGCAGGTTAACAGGTTATAATAGACCGGTTAACATGTTAAAACAGACAGGTTAACAGGTTATAATAGACAGGATAACAGGTTATAATAGACAGCAAGTTAACAGGTTATAATAGACAGGTTAGGTTAACAGGTTAAAACAGACAGGTTAACAGGTTAAATTAGGTTGCCTTACAAGTTATAATAGACAGGTTAACATGTTTTAATAGACAGGTTAATACAGACAGGTTAACAGGTTATAATAGACAGCAAGTAAACAGGTTTAAACAGACATGTTAACAGGTTATAATAGACAAGACAGGTTATAATAGACAGGTTAACAGGTAAAAATAGACAGCAAGTTAACAGGTTATAATATACAGCAAGTTAACATTTTATAGCAGGTTAACAGGTCGAATTTGTTAACTTAAATTATGAACACATCTGTAATTGTAATCAGTATTTTTTGTAGATTTTGGACAAGTGAGTTTCGGATTCATTGTTTATAAAAAAGAGGTCAAACAAGATCAACAAGTTCTACACAAAATACTCCGTTAAATCTGCCTTGTGCAGATCTGCATCTCACAATAATCCACATAGTTCCTAAACGGTTCCTTGTTTTCAATTCTTTGATTTACTTCTCCTAGTCTGCATTTTGTGATTTTTTTGTTTTATTTTGAGTTCAAAATCACCTAGTTGTCATCTCTCTCTCTCATCAGCCTGTCACTTGTAATGAAGGACATTCCCAACCACCCAACCTTATCCCAACACGTGTATTGAACAATTCAAGTTTTTGACCCCCTATGTGTAAAAGATGCGGATTAATTAGGTTGCCTTACAAGCGTCAGCTGTAGGGAATTGGGAATTTCCCTTTAGCTCAGCGGTAGAGCAACAGGCTGGAGAGCCATAACGGTTGCGGGTTCAAGCCCCGGCGACGGCACTATCTGAATCACTATTCCTCGTCCTACTATATATGTACTGCATTGATTTAAAAAGAAGACCTCAGCAGCCTTTGTATGATCCACATCGGGCGGTTCAGAGGCTGGTTACCATGAGATCAGTACCACATCTGTTAACATTTCTGATAACATTGCTAACACATCCTGTGTGGGTCTCTTTTTAATGTTACTCGTTAGTCCTATATTGTTATATGGATCTGAAATATGGGGTTACGAAAATATCAAAATAGTAGAACAAACTCATTTGAAATTTTGCAGACGAATTTTGGGCCTGAGAACTTCGACTCCAAACTTTATGATATATGGTGAATTAGGTCAATATCCTCTTGAGATAGCTGTTAAGTTGAGAATGCTGACTTTTTATAACTCACTCTTAACGAATACCTCTAAACTTAGTTGCCATATGTATAGGTTAATGTTCAAACTTCAAGCCAATAATTTGTGTAAGTTTAAATGGTTAGAATATATAAAAATGTGTTTTGATGAAGTCGGACAAAGTTTTATTTTTATAAAACAGGAACCTACTAGTAAATATTATATTAAAAACACTGTCAAACACATTTTTATTGATCAATTTTTACAAAGATGGCATGCAAACATTCAAAATTCATCACGAGGTGAACTCTATGGTAAATTTAAGAAGAAACATGTACTTGAGCCTTATTTGACTCGCCTTTCTGAAAAAAACAGATCAATATTATGCAAATTTAGATGTTCTAATATGAAATTTCCCATTGAAACGGGTAGATGGCATAATATCCACAAACAAGACCGAAAATGCACTCTATGTAAAAATGAGATAGGCGATGAATTTCACTATTTATTCAAATGTACAAATTTAATAATTGTAGAGCTTAGAGAAAAATATATACCTCTGTACTATAGAAAAAATCTGTCTCAAATTAAAATGAGTGGTCTTTTGTCATTTTGCAACACGACAGTATTAAATGGAATTTGTCTTTAGTTGGAAAAAATTAACAAACTGCTGTAATATGTATCATGATTACTGTTTTGTGTACTTGCCATCCATTTTGTAATCACATGTGTATTATTATACTCTGATACCTCATGTTGTACATTTTAATGTATCTGAGGAAAACCAATAAACTTGTAAACTTGTAAACTTGTATTTGGAAGTCAGATATATATATGTCTCCAGAATCACTGCTATTTCACTTGTTAATTGATTTGTCTTGCCAATGATGGTAAAATTTTGTTACATAAAAGTTTTACGGTAGAATTAACTAGAACTGTATGCTAAAGGCTATCTAATGCCCCCTGTTCCCAAATAAACAACAGGCTCAATGGGCCTGAATCGCTCACCTGGTATAAATCTCACACTTGTAATCTTAAAAGTGGACTAATATACAGCTTAGTTCGATTCATTTGAATCTATTAAATGATTTAAACATATGACGCCATTGACCTTGAAAGTCGAACAAGGACATTAAGTTGAACAGAGTTTAAAGCCTTCCATCCCAGCATGCTTCTGGCTAAATATCATTACCCTGGACATTTTGAATATATTCAGAACAAGACATTTAAAGATTTTAACATATTTGATCCCTGTGACCTTGAATATGAGCAAAAGTCATTTGTTTGAACAAACTTTGTAGCCCTTCATCCCAACATGCTACTAACAAAATATCATCATCCTAAGGCCTTTTGATTATTGAGAAGTTGTTTAAAGGTTTTTAATATGTTTGATCCCTGTGACCTTGAAAATAGATGAAGGTCATTCATTTGAACAAACTTAGAAGCCCTTTATCCATGCATGCTACTGACAAAATATCATCATCCTAGGCCTTTTGATTATTGAGAAGTTGTTAAAAGGTTTTAAACATATTTTACTCCTGTGACCTTGAAAATCGGTGAAGGTCGTTTGTTTGAACACACTTGGTAGCTCTTTATCTGAGCATGATACTGGTCAAATATCATTATTCTAGGCCTTATTGTTACTGAGGAGAAGTCGTTTGAAGATTTTAACACATTTGGCAATTGTGACCTTGAAAATGGGTGAAGGTCATTTATTTGAACAAACTTGGTAGCCCTTTATCCCAACATGCTCTGGCTCTCTTGGTTATTCAGAAGAAGTTGTTTAAAGTTGACGCCGGATGGACGGACGATAGACACCGCACGACGGCATAAGCTGCCCAAAGGGGCCAGTTGAGCTAACAAGAACTGTAAGCTAAATACTAACTAATACCCCCCCCCCATCTTCCATATAAACAAGAACTATAAGCTAAAGGCTAACTAATACCCCCTGTTCCCATATAAACTAGAACTGTAAGTTAAATACTAATATACTAACTAATACCCCCCCCCCCCTCATATATAAATTAGAACTGTAAGCTAAAGGCAAGCTTATATCCCCTGTTCCCATATAAACTAGAACTGTAAGCTAAAGGCTAACAAATACCCCCTGTACCCATATAAACTAGAACTGTAAGCTAAATACTAACTAATACCGCCCCCCCCTCCCTCCCATATAAACAAGAACTATAAGCTAAAGGCTAACTAATGCTCGACCCCCCCCCCCCCCCCCCCA